TGGAAACCAAAGTCTTTAAAATTGGTATTTGCTGCTTCTCCGCTGAACACGCGGCATTAAGGAGTAAGAGCAAAGACTGGTAGGCTCGGAGTCAGAATAATGTGTCCGGGTAAGGTGACATGTCTTCCGGCGAACTGTTACCTTGTGAACTAGCACGTTAAAATTCGGCTCAGTGTGTCGGTCTAGTACAAAGCAGGGTTAATATTCATATTACATTAACAAGTTATAGTTCTCAATATGCATAATAATTAATTTGCCGCTGGACGTTAAGCAGCAGGAGGGGTAATGCAAATTTGTAATTGTAATGCAAATTTGTAATTGTAATGCATGGTAATGCATTACAATTTTCCAAGTAATTGCATGCAATGTGTAATGCAGCAATTTTTGCATTACATGTAATTGTAATATAATGCATTGCTTTAGCAAAAAGTTGTGTAATTTCATGCATTACATTGCATTACATGGCATTACTTTTTTCACATACTACATCTTTAAAATATTGTTGGAGATTTAACTAAAGCAGAATTTAAGATTTCTTGATTAACTAAGAATATATTAATTATTTGAATATATTCTTTATTTCATTTTATTTCATACATTTTCCTGCATAAAAAGATTGATATTTGAAAAGCATTACTATATTGTTGTCATAAGATCAAAGAATACCTTGTCTTGATTAAATAAAAGATTAATGAAGTTTGTTATAAAACACTAATAAATTTGTTTTACAATCAATATATTCATTATTTGGACAATTGTTCATTAATTAAGCTCTATGTTAATTATATAATTAGGAAAGAAATTCTAAGTAATTAAATATTTTAATTGAAATTAAAAAAAAAACAAAAAATATATTTATAAAAGTAAAGTCAACATTAAGTTTAAATAATTAAAAATGTAATAGCCGAATTAAATAGTCTGTTTACATGTATACTTAAATTCAATGCATGGATTTGTTACTGCATATGCTAGAATCTTTTGTGACTTCGTGTTGTTTTTCTAACTGTTTGATTTTTCTATTCACCTAATAATAAAATTTACAAATGTAATGTGTAATTCAATTCAATGCATTACTTTGATAAATGAATGTAATTGTAATTGTAATTTAATGCATGGTTTTGTTAAAGTAATTGTAATATAATGCATTACATTGCAATGTAATTCGCCCCATGCCTGTTAAGCAGCCATCCTTCATCATCATCATAATCATTTTGGAATAATTCTAAAATTAAAAAAAAAAAAAAAATAGACGATTTAGTTTTACTATAATTTCATACAATTGACATGTACACTTAGATGAGAGATTTCAACTGCATTAATCTGACAAAATTCATCGGATTGCACGCCAAAAATCAGCATATCTTGATAATCACAGAAAACTGTTCCAGAGGAAATTTACAGGTACACTTGTTTTAAAATTATTTTTGCATCACCCTGTGATGATCCTTTGTTTAAGCAGTTTTCGCAATACATTATAGTAAAATGGGAGAAAAGAAACCAAGTACGCAATCACAATCAATAAGTAGAAGATCCACACACAAAACAATATGAACAGTCTACAAAGCAACGGACAAAAAATAAAATAATGAGTAATACAGAACAAATGAAATGGTGTAGTCACCGGAAAAAAAGAAGCGGCTCCTCAACTGGCGAAACTTGGCGAGTTAATTAATGATATTTCAAACCATTAACATTCTTCTATTCATAAATTATTCATTAGTAATATTAAATTAACAATACTTTTAATTAATAACACATAATAAAGTTATTAAATCATTATGAAATTTTTCACTATATAAACTTTAGACCCGATTGTAGTTTACACTTGAGTTCTGGGATGGCAGAAAGTACACAAGACACCGAAAAACCTTTAAAAACAACTAAATAAAATTTCAAGCATAATGTAAACAATTTTTCAGGCCTTGTTACTCAATGATTCCATTCATCTTGATAAAGATTTGAAAATGCCATTGGTACGAGATTTAATACAGGTAATTACCGATACAAATTAAAGAATTCACGAGTTATAATCACCGTACAGTAGATTCTTGACGTTGAAGCGTTTTGAAGCGAGACTGGTAGGTACAACGTCCAAATGTTTTTCTTCAAAGACTAATGGCCTTTAAAGCAAGAATTCAATGTTTATTAAAAAAAAGTTCACAACTTCCCGACAAGCATTGTATATTATTTATATATCATGAACTGTAAGGTATTTTAAACGAAAAAAAAAATCACAAACCAAGGTCACAAATTTGATTTCGAGTACACCTACCATGCTTTATTTCATATATTAATCACGCCTGTATAAAACAGTCTAAATTTCCCGGAATCAACCAGTAATTCGTACATTTGTCTATTTATGATTATCCCTACGAATGAAAAGAGCCGTTGTTATATTTGATTTTCACAGGTAAAGACTGACCTCTGAATTTCATCTATTTACGGTTCGTTGTCTTTGTTTGGTATGGTTGGTTGCAAATTCTTGTTCTGCTCATTGTTCGTTTTGACTAAGATAAACCTATCAATATGGTAGAATTATGAATGTTACTACTGATTGAAAATTTTCGAAGCTCATTTAAGCGATTACTAAATTTTTCAATGACAATTCGCCACACATATACATTTTGTACGTTGTATTCATAGAGTTTCTACTCTAGTAGCTTATCGGATCCAGGACACAATAAAAGCAAACTCATCGAAAATCTTTGAATGCAATGATGTAAACCACTTATGAAATAAATTTGAAACATATATCCCTCAGCTTGATATGATTTGGTTAATTGATTGCTGTTTCCTTTAAGTTCCAGTAGCACATATTTCATGCATATTCATTACGATGATCATATATAATTTTGCTTGCCCATACAAATCCTTTTCAATTGATCTAAGGTTTGCCACCTCGGGGTTGATGGCCCGACTCCTCATATTAAAACTTATTATCTCAAAAACTGTTCAAATACCCACCCATATATAATTTAGATGCATTGATAAGACACCAAATGTTTTGTGATGCCGCACCCCCTCATATCAATTTTGAATATATATATATATTGAAACCAATCGGGATGTCCACCTATTAACCATGTATATATATATATATATATATGGCAGTCAGCAGGGTTAAGAACATCCGTTGTTCGACCTGCTTGTCAAATGCGTTTTGTTAAAATATACTTTTTTCACTTTTTTGGTCTTTCGGAAAATGCTGTTTGTGCTGTATTTAAACCCCTCTACCAAGAATTTGTTTTGCATGCACACGTATAAAAATTGCGGTTTTTATCCAACGCAATCTTAGGTTTGAACGTTGTTTTCAATTTAGACTTGTTTATTTTTTTCCGTTTGGGCTTGTATTATATTTGCCTTCGGGTTTATATGATCCGTTCATCCTATTTCGACTCTTCAAAATTCAAGAGTCAATCCAAAATTTAGGTAAATTATATGGCCTTCCAAATACCGTTTCGATTCCTAACATCACTGAAGAGACATTAATTGTCGAAATCCGGATATGGTGTACAAATTTTTGCACCTCATGTTTGCGGTATATCATCTTTTCCGCAAGTTTATTGTTTTCTGTTTGGTATTAAATTAATAATTAAGATCCATTTTATAACATCTGTGATCCGTTTATTTGACAATCGCCATGGCAGTCAGCAGCGTTTAAGAACATCCGTTGTTCGACCTGCTTGTCAAATGCGTTTTGTTAAAATATACTTTTTCACTTTTTTGGTCTTTTGGAAAATGTTGTTTGTGCTGTACTTAGACCCCTCTACCAAGAAATTTGTTTTGCATGCACACGTATATAATTGCGGTTTTTATCCAACGCAATCATAGGTTTTCAATTTAGACTTGTATATACAAATTTTCAATATGAAATTGCATATAAGAAATGTCAAAACCAGTTAAATAGTTCTAGATGATTAATTAAACAAAATAAGATTGATATTTCAATACAAACAGCATAATGTTCTTATCGATGTTTTTACCAACAAACGGTACAGTTCCATTACGAAAATGCGCAACTAGCGTACAAAATAAGGAGGAAGATACGTTTTGTGCATGTATATAAATTGTTATTTAATGTTATTTGTTTTCATTTTTTAAGAATTTTTAAGGCAGCTTTTGTGACTTAGGTTTGTAAACTTACATGCGTTTTTTAAACAGTAACTACAGCTATAGTTAAAATTTGAATTTTAAAATGCATATTGGTGACTTAACATGTACACAACGTGTACAAATCATTTTTGAATACTAAATGTGTAAATACCTAAGCATGGTTAAGATCATAAACCCTTCCTTCAGCTTGTTGTTGTTTATAGAGTAAGAACGCACAACATCCGGAACCAACTGTGCGGCGGTTATATCCCGTGGAATTATCGTGGATATAATGATTTGTTTGTAGTTTTGTAGACTGCATTTCATTGTGATAAATACAATATTAATTCGAGATTACTCATATATTACCATTCTTATTTAAAACAAATCAAACAGTGTTAAATGTATGAGGAAGTCAGAAATATAAAGACGATTACTAGTATTACAACAAAAGCAGCATTGAAGGTTTTGCAGAACTAATCTAAGGTTTCTAAAGTTATTTTATCAGAAATGCTGCATGATAATTTCTCTTTCTCGATGTTTTTCTGTATTTGTAGGATTTGATCAAATAAAAGCCAGTCATGAGCGAGTTGATGATTCGAATAACAACAGCATAAAGATCCCAAGACATTAATAAGATTTAACAGAAAAACATATCTTTCTTAAAATTGAAAAAAAAACGCATGGCGGAGCTGCATGTATTGCAGGAGACGCTTACCCTGACAACGCACCCAGTCTCTCTGTGTCAAAGTTCATCATGCATGTTTGTAGACTCTGAATGGATTGAAAAGATTTGAATATCGTTAAACATCTGTTATCTATAATTTACAATAATAGGTCGAGTACAAACAAAATCCTATCTCAAGATTTTACTACATTCAATAAATACGCATTTTTTTTTACAGGGAATGACCTATCTCCATCAAAGTAATATATATGTACATGGGGGTTTAACAAGTAACTCGTGTGTTATTGATAGTCGCTTTGTGTTAAAAGTTACGGGATTTGGACTCAGAAGATTGAAACAGCAATGTAAAGAAAACGTTAGTCAAGACAGTAAGTAATTCTAAAATTAGAGGAACGGGTCTATTCTAACGACAATCAATCAATCCAACAATCAAATTTACCAATGCCTGGCTCCATGGTTATCGCTATTAAGTTAATTCAAGTCTTTATAGTTGGAGGATGAAAATGGCAACATGCAAAATACATCATAGAAATTAATATACCATTTCTAATGGTTTCCCTTGAATGATAAAAAAACACTTTATTTCATAAATAAGTCGGATTTGTATTTCTACTTAAAATCTTCTTTCTGAAAAGAAAACATTTTAGTGTTGCAATCAAAAGTTATTGCACAGTTACATTTACTATAGTCAAGGCAGCGTCGTTTGCAATCAAATCGTGAAATGAACGTTAACGTTGGGTTATCTACCAACAACGATTACTGAACAGTTCAAGCGTTTCATTTAACTGTATTCTTGGCTTAACATTCAGTCTGATATACTTTAGGAAACCAATCAGCTAAATGTAAAGGAAATACATATGAATAAAGGGAAATATTATATGCCAAAAAGAACAAAAAGTAAAAAATGAACAACAAAATAAGAAGTCATGTCATGTTCTTAATCAAACCAGGTCCGAACAGGTAGTGAAAAAAATAAAAAGGAATTGCGAAAGATCTGTGACTTTAGACAGGCAAATAAACAAGCGGCGTGGTTGAAGAAGTTATTCATAGTTTCTTTATTGTTATATATTAAACAAAAGCAAATTTAAACGAAATGTCTGATATTGATAATACAATAGTTTTTATTGATTTGAAGACAGCTTTTGGACTGCACCAGAACATCTCCGCACCAAAGACAGAACAGTTTCGCAGCCGGGTGATGTCTACAGCTTCGGGATAATACTGTATGAAATATTGACCAGAAACGAACCTTACAGCGAGGAATTAGATATGTTTACGTCACTAGGTTGTGAAATAAGTATAATACTATGATCATACATTTATATTGAATTATGGCATATACTATAATAGTGAAATTGTACAAGAAGACCTTAATTAAAACTCACATCTAATATGGGAAACATTTAAAGATGTGTTGGACAATGCAAATAAGCGCAAACAAATTATTCATATTTGCATATATATTTCTTCGTTGTGTTATTCACCCTACACATATATTATATTAAATATTAGTCACAGAACGAGGTAATCGAATAGTCTATCAATAATATCAATTAATGTTAATTGTTTTTATGTTTTTTGAAAAAACAAAATAGAGAGAATATACCAAAGGGGAAAATAAAAGATCATAAGTCTGATAAAAACAGACAACGGTATTGCCAGAAAGAAAAAAAAAACAAATGATTTAAGCGTTTAGATATTTCTTACAACGGATTTTCCTCTTTTGTTTTTGTTAAAAATTATAAAATTTCCATTTCTATGTTATTTTAACCTGAAACAGAGGATAAAACTTATAACTTTACTTATTCCTTTGATATTTCATACAGAAATCATCATGAAAGTCATTAACACTGAGAATCCACCATTCAGACCATCGTTACCTAAAACAACCAATAAAGACTTCATGAGAGGAATAGAAACAATTATGTATGACTGTTTGAATGAAGATCCTCAGAATAGGCCGTATTTCATGATTATTGGAAAAAGAATCAAAGATGCGACTGGGTAGTATTACTTATCTCATTAGCCGAAGGAAAACCCAATTTGGCCATATTTGGCCACAGCTTTTAATTGACATATTCGATTTCAAACAATAATGAAAGTTATACATATATATATATATATATATAGATATATAAAGATGTAAAGATGTGTGGTTACCGAAGATAATTATTATGGCAACCTTACATATGATTTTTTTTTATCAGCTATAGTTTGAGGAGGGAATAAGGCGTTTGCGCAATGCTATGCGGTGTTTACGTAGAAATAAGAAGTGAAAAGGACAGGTTCCAGTCCGGTCGGGGAGGAAGTAAAGAATCATATCTACTCTAACATCGTTAGGTTCATTTTATATACACTTTATAAATATTCTAACGCCTGGTATTTCTTAATCATAAGATATCCGATGGACAAGGTATAATTAACAGTTGTCACTAAACATAGACAGACATATCTAATTATAAATTCATAGTGATTGTATGCTTCTAAAAATAGAATAGCATCCTGTAAGTATACTTAAGAGATAAGTAGATGATCATTCCTGTACATTTAAAAATACTTCGTGTATTGTGATTAGACGTCCTAGTTTTATACCTACGAGAAGTGAACAGCTCCCGAAACGAAAACTGATTTTTATCAGCTATAATTAGAGGAGGGAATACGGCGTCTGCCAAATGCTAGGCGTTGTTATCGTAGAAGTGAGTAGTGAAAAGTATAGGTTCCAGCCCTGGTCGGGGAGGAAGTAAAGAATCAGATGTACTCTAACATTCTAGGCACTTTATACATATATAGCTGATAAAAATCAGTTTTCGTTTCGGGAGCTGTTCACTTCTCGTAGGTATAAAACTAGGACGTCTATACATACGTCTAATTATGTGACAACTTTATGAAAGACGTTCTCCATCTGTTAGAAAAAGCTTGTTCTTCCCTCAGCGGGGTTCGAACCCCTGCATCTGATACATCGTTGCAACACCATCTGCACTGTGTCCAGCGCCGTAGACCCCTCGACCAATTAGGCTATATAAAAACATAGCTTTCGTTGGTCGAATAATGTCTTTTCACGTCAGCGTTATCCAGGGTTGTAACACAGTACATGATATATAGTGCCAAGTACATGGTATACCTTGCAGATCAGCTGTTATTTTGTCTGTCGTAAAGGATGATAATTTTACTTACCAATTCGTCACCTCAAATTTTAATTTTATTATAAATATGTGACAACTTTACGACAGACGTTCTCAATTGGTATATATAAGACCACACAATGCACTGTGTGAAACACGGGTGCTGTAAATTAAATTTTTAATGCACCATGGGATACACAAGTGTAAATATCAAAAAAACTAAATATCATGGTTTGACGAGTATATTAGATGTCAAAATAATCATTAGATGCAGCGAATTCGGCCAATATTAAAGTTAATAATTAAAATGCACAAATTCCATCAGATTTGATAATTCCACCGGTTTATAAAGCAAATGCATCGAAGGATTATATATATCTAAAACGTCCAATGGCTTAGCAAAAACACTCGAAGAACGAAATCTTCATCATAATCCAGACCCAAAAGTAACGGACAGGAACCTGAAAAATAAATTCAGCATTACCTGTACAACAACAAGTAATGGAGGGCGGGGTAAAATTTATATCCAGCAAACAAAAATGTCGACCAGCTTCTTGACAAACCAAATATAAACAGAAAGCACACGTAACAAAATGCTACGTCAGTGATCATGATGTCATCAACATTAATGAATGAGGTCTAGCTAAAATATAACACATAAAGAAAAACGTCCCCTGCGATAAATGAATTTAAAGTATAGAAACTTAAATTTTATTATCTGTTTATTTTATCAAACGTTAAGCTGTTTACATGAGATACATACACCAACGCGGATACAAAATATAACCTAAAACAATAATTAACATAAACAGTTTATTATAAGTCATTTTGAGTAACCATTACCATAAACGTATATCAAAAGTAACGTTACAGTTGACTTTTGAGTTTACCAATCATTTTAAAATGTAGTACAAATGTATGCAATGATTGAAACGTACAACAGGAATTACCAAAAATATTGGACGGTAATTTTAACCACACCAATCACCAACACTCAAATCCTCCAAATACACAGATGTATAAACAGACAAACAAAAACGACCAACGCATATTACATATTACATATATACTTATAGCCTGGTTTAACAGAGCTTATTTTAAAGAAGTATTTCAAAAGTAATTGGAGGTAATTTTGTATAAATATTGCAACCGGTTCAACAATTTTAAACCAGGTTTTCACACTTTGAGGACAGCAATATGATTTTTGGAATTTGAATGCTTTTTAATTTTTGTTTAATTCGAGCGCCACTGATGAGTATTATGTAGACAAAACGCACGTCAGGCGTACTGAATTATAACCTGGTATCTTTGATGACAAAGAAACAATAAGTTCGAATCTTGCATGAGCTGGTCAGTTAATAAAAAGCTAATAGGTACAATGTGTTTGATGTCTCAAAATTTCAAATGTAAAAAAGGTAATTTAAAAAAATAATTTGTTTCTTTCAGATTTTCAAAAACCCATAATGTATTAGATGCGTTACTTAGAAGAATGGAACAATACGCAAATAATTTGGAAGCTCTTGTTTTGGAAAGGACACAAGCATTCTTAGAAGAGAAACGAAAGTCTGAGGAACTTTTGTTCCAAGTTCTTCCACGGTATTGCAACATAGAAACTACTTTTAGGAAAACAAAAAACACCACTTAAAAAGATAGATTCTAGTAAATAGACGAACAGCCAAACACAATAATACACAATAGTACAAAAAAATAATAGGTACAGTATCCAGGAACACAACCAAAATCGTAGGTGAGTTTCTGTGGTCTGGAAATGTCAGCAGTTCCTGTTCCACTATATGTATCCGTCTTGTAACTATTTCTAAATCCGTTGATTCAAATATCTGGCAATAAAGTATTATTATCATAGTGGATTGGTAAATGTTTTCCATTAATTTAGGAAAGTCGAACAAATTTACATGATACAACAAGTTCATAAAATATTAGGAAATAACAACTTCCCTATAATTGTTCTGCATCCTTTTCTATCATGAATCAGTAAAAAGATTCTCATTGTCGAAGGCCGTACGATGACTTTTAATTACTTATATCCACGTCATTTAAACTCTGGTGGATATTTGTCTCATTTACAATCATATCACATCTCCTTATTTTAATAAAAAAAGGTCTTTACACATACATATAACTATATCAGCAAACCAAATGCTATGACAATTACACACTCTACAACAGTAACAGTAAAGAAAATAGTATGTCGCTTTCTATGCTTTCTAGATCTGTTGCTGAAAGATTAAGAGATGGAAGACCCGTTGATCCTGAAGCATTTAATTGTGTAACGATATATTTCAGTGATATCGTAGGCTTTACTGACCTTTCATCTCAGAGTACACCTTTTCAGGTACAGTTGTTTAATTCCTAACATTTTTATGGTCTCGTAAGTCGGTTTCTTCCTATTCACTATGCTAAGTGAATTATTTGTTAATCTATTAATTAATTAATTATCATTGATATTCGACGTATTTTAATAATGTAAACAAAATACAACATCAATTTTCTACCTTCGCCTGGTATTTCATTATAATTTGTCAGATTCTTATATTTTCATTTAAATTTGATTTCGTAATCGAAGAAGTTGGTTTAGTACAAATATGTATTCTCTATTATTTTAGATTGTAGATCTACTCAATGATCTTTACAACTGTTTTGATGAAGTTATAGACAGCTATGATGTGTATAAGGTATGGTAAATTAAGGAAACATTACTTTACCGATTTTCAAATCTTATATATCGATTCAGAAGACAAATCAAAGTAACAAACATGCACTGAGGGAATAGCATGGACTCAAAAAGGGACGAGATCGAGTGCGTCAACAGGGTAAACTTCTCCTGCTATGAAAGCACTATCTGTCATACGACTCATCCAAACTCAGTCAAAATGTCACAATCGGGAATAGGACACAATTGGTCAAATTATAGATTAGATTATTCTGGAGCAGATGGCATGTTACCACTGATAAATAGGAAGTTAATAATTTGGAAGTCGAAATCATTACGTTTGTCCTAGATTCTTGTTGGAAGCCATCCATTCTTTCAATATCGAGAAAATTATCAAGATATGACACTGTGATGAGACAGACTTCATATAGAAAATAAATACAAATTAAAATAATTGTCTTTATTGGTAATGAAAATAATACTACTTTAATCATATAAGATGCTTAAGACTTTTATCCTATGATAATAATTTCATATTTTCGAACAGTAGTATATTTTTCATATCGTTATGTCTATTTTGAATTGTTTTGGAGCCGGATTAACTGGAAGAATTTTATCGTTATTTCCAAAAATTCAGATCCGAAACATTTTTGTCGTACATACGAATGTTGGAACTTGACTAAAGACAAATTGTATAGCGCTGCATGTTAAAATAATACGAAGCCTTTGATTGAAAAGCAAAAGTTTTACCTCTCACCAAGGACAACTTATTAATCTTTTTCTACCTACAATGGAAAGTCTCTATAAATTTATAAATCTGGTCCGAAACGCTTTTCTAGATTTACCTTCATCAACCACACTCTTGTCTTTGAAAGACGTCGGATGTATAAGTACATAAACACGTAAGAATTTATATGACCAAAAGGCACTTAAAAGAATAGTCAAATTCATCGCAGGTCTAGTTTGCCTGAGGGAGTTAGAAATTTTAGTTTTTTAGCAACTTCCAAGTCTATCAACACAACATATTAGAAAAGTATGTAATAAATCATGCCAGTTCCAAAGCACTGACTACTGAGCTGATAATACCCTCTGGGGCTAACAGTTTTGTCTTTTTTGGTAGTCCACGAGTACCAGAACTGACCCATGTAGTAGTAGAAAAACAAAGAACAAATAATTGTACAAAATTAGCTGATTGATGCTTAAGTCTAGCCTCGGAAAAATAGTTTATTCATTAGTTAAAAATGAATTTTTACTAGCTTTTAGTAAGTTCGAATACTCTTAACAGCTTAGATCGATTCCTTTTGTCTTTGCATCCGCTTATTAATTTTATTCTTTGAGAATCGACATTGAGCTGCTGGTTTAAGACAGTGTTTCTTTGCTTACACAATCCGGCGTTATAATTTGTGTCAGATAGATCTCAAGTATGTAATAAAATTGAGAATGGAAATGGGGAATGTGTCAAAGAGACAACAACCCGACCATAGAGCAGACAACAGCGGAAGGCCACCAATGGGTCTTCAATGCAGCGAGAAACTCCCGCACCCGGAGGCGTCCTTCAGCTGGCCCCTAAACAAATATGTATACTAGTTCAGTGATAATGGACGTCATACTAAACTCCAAATTATACACAAGAAACTAAAATTAAAAATGATACAAGACTAACAAAGGCCAGAGGCTCCTGACTTGGGACAGGCGCAAAAATGCGGCGGGGTTAAACATGTTTTTTGAGATATCAACCCTCCCCCTATACCTCTAGCCAATGTAGAAAAAACAAACGTACAACAGTTCGCACAGTAAAACTCAGTTTAAGAGAAGTCCGAGTCCGATGTCAGAATAGGAAACAAAAGAAAACAAACAAAATGACAATAATACATAAATAACAACAGACAACTAGCAGCTACTGACATGCCAGCTCCAGGCCTCAATTAAACTGATTAAAAGGTTATGTCTTCATCATATGAATATCAGGCACAATCCCTCCTGTTAGGGGTTTAGTATTATACCATCATAAAATATATGAGAAGAACATAACCCGTGTCATGCCAACAACTTGTTTTAGAATAAATATGTTTAATTCCGATGCAAAGACTCTATAAGTGAATCAATATTAAAGCCAAAATATGCAATCTTTAATGACCTGACAAGAGTATCGTAACTATATCCCTTCTTAATAAGTCTGTTTGAAGGTTTTGTCAGCTTATGAGGTGAATACTGACATTTTTGTGCTTTGTAAAGAATATTACCATAAAAGATTGGATGTGAAATACCCGAACGTATAATATGTCTGCATGTTGAGTTATATTTACGAATGATGTCCTTATACCGATGATAAAATTTAGTAAATGTTTTGACTAGTTTATGATATCGAAAACCCTGGTGTAATAATTTTTCAGTAATACATAAATTCTCTCGCTAAAATCTAATACGTTGTTACATACACGAGCGAATCGTACAAGTTGAGATATATAAACACCATAAGATGGTGACAAGGGAACGTCACCATCTAAAAATGGATAATTAACGATAGGAAATGAAAAATCATCTCTTTTATCATAATTTTTTGTATTAAGCTTCCCGTTAATGATATAGATATCAAGATCGAGGAAAGGACAGTGGTCATTGTTAGTATTAGCTTTATTTAAAGTAAGTTCAACAGGATAAATTTATTTAGTATACATACTGAAGTCGTCATTATTGAGAGCCAATATATCATCCAAATATCTAAAAGTATTGTTAAATTTTTGTATCAGATGTTGTTTTGATGGGTCTTTGCTGATTTTAGTCATAAATTGTAACTCATAACAATACAAAAACAGGTCCGCAATAAGTGGTGCACAGTTAGTCCCCATTGGAATTCCGATAACTTGACGATATACGGAATCTCCAAAGCGAACAAAAATGTTATCAAGTAAAAATTCAAGGGCAGATATAGTATCAAAGCATGTCCAATTGACATAGCTCTTTTGTTTGTTGCTATTAAAAAATGACCTAAAAGAGTTTGAACATATGTATTCGCATTCCTACTTTTTAAATGCCCATTTAATTAGGTGTGTGAATTTTTTCTTAATAAGAATATGAGGCAAAGTGGTATATAGGGTAGAAAAATCAAAATTTTGAACAGATTCAAAATCACCAATATATGCATGCAATTTATCAAGTACTTCCAAGGAGTTTTTGACACTCCAAAAGTAGTTAATTCCACTATTTTTAAAGGCCTTATTTGAACAATTTATTATCAGGTTTTTGATTGTACCAAGTGTACTAGTAAGTAGAATAGACAATTTAGTAGTGGAACAATGACTTGAAGACGAAATAAATCTATATTTGTAAGATGATTTGTGTAGCTTCGGAAGCCAGTACATAGTTGGGACTTTCATTGTATTTGGTTCTGCTTGTAAAGAAGTAGCTAATAGTTTATGTTTGTTACAGATATCGTTTTCTGAAAATGAAGTCAGTTGGAATGTTGGTGAATTCGTGGTTTCCTTTTGCAGAACCTCAATGTAAAATTTACGTCAAACTATAATGATATTATAAGCAGCTTTATCAGCCGGGACAAACACAAATTCCTTGGCTAGTTCTTTTAGTTTATGTTTGATTCGAGAAATATGATTTTTATGGTTGTTGTTAAGAGTAAAATGTTCTTTAAAATGTTGTATACGTATATCAACTATCTTCATTACTGAATTAAAAAAAGAGTCCAAAGATTTTTTGTCAGCTTTTTCACGTTTTATCCATTTCAAACAGTAAGCACGAAGTGAGTCGTGGATGACATTACGACACTCATTCCAATTAATAATTGACGGGGGACGATATTTAGGTCCTTTAGTGAGGAATGATTTTAACTCTCGGTCGCAAGCGATGTTAAGGTCTCCTGTTATAACATGGGAAATAGGGCCATAAGTGTATTCGGAATTACTACAATTACATGACGGAGGTGTATTTTCACTGATATTTACATCTTTACAGACTTGGCTATAATTAAACACAAATTTTCGGGTAGATTTCTTGTAAATATAACAAATAAGAGGGAGTTCAGTATTATCAAAATATCCAGGAATTTGTTCTTTAACAGAATGGTCGTTAAAAATACCGGCAATATTTACAAAATCAAAACCTTTATTGACATACTTTATTTTAATAAAATGTTTTTTATGATCTTCAGGGCGATCAATTTTGGGAAACAGTTTAGAATAACAATATGCCATTATAATTTGAACGATTTCATACTTAGGACTGCAATATGAAATTGTGTTGCAATCCTCTAAAATTTTATTTAATTTATTTATAGGTAAAGAACAGAGCTTGGTTAATAGATAATGTCTGCCGTTGTTTTTTGAAATAGAAATTAGGTCCGAAATATTTGTATGGTTGGTCTGAAATTTTCTTTGATTGCGATTTTTTCTACGCCCATGAGAACGGTTTTTACGAACAGTTTTAGAAACTATATCCAGAATGTTAACAGAATCGGTTCTTGATATATGACCAATTCCATTGATATTATCATTAAGACCGAGAGGGTAGACTGTCTGTAATTGTTTAATCCAATCGAATTCAATTATTTTCCGTGATCGTACAAACTTTGAATGAGATTCACCAGGCTGCTTATTTACTACTTCTAAAGGTTGAACTGTTAAATATTTAATAGGATGATTGTGCTTTTTAAGATGTTGATAAATGATACTTTTGAATGTATTGTGTCTTTTAAAACGATACAGGTGTTCTTGCGTGCGTTTCGATAAATATCGTCCAGTTTCACCTACGTACTGAATACCGCATCCCGGTTTGTTTCATGTGAGAAAATAAATAATACTGTTTGTTTTTCAAGTTATATCAGTTTCAAAATTTAAAGAAAATGTGCGACCATTAAACGTAGACCTTACCGTATTGTTGGTGGAAAGACGGGGACATGTAAGTCATTTTTTGGCATAACACTTATCAATTGAAGGGTAACCACGATTTTTATTGTTAAAAATGTTAGCGATGGTAGTATTTTTAGATAAGCGATTTTGAAGATTGAGACGTGTAGATACCCTTTGAACGAGTTTAGTATTTAATATTTTTCCATTTCTAAGCTTCATACTTGTTTTTTATTATGTGGATTTCATTAGAAAGGAGCAAAGACTGGCGTCCAGAATATGAACCAGCACACAATAAATTGAATTATGTGAATTTGATAAAACTGTTCGGCTAAAGACGTCAAACGCTATCCGTCATAAATTACCCGAAAAATAAAACAAAAGATAGGGTATATCAGGGAAGCGACTGACGTCTGACTAAATAGAAGAATGGGGCTGAATGTGAAATACTACTTTTTGATAAATATTCCTAAAGTAATGAACATAGAGAAGTTCTCGCTCGGACACACACTCCATAATCTAGTATATTATAAGAGCATAAACCTGAAGCACGGGGAGGCACTCTACTGTCTCCACACGGCACTAAAGACAAACTCTGTAAAAAATAAAATTGAGAATGGAAATGGGGAATGTGTCAAAGAGACAACAACCCGACCATAGAGCAGACAACAGCCGAAGGCCACCAATGGGTCTTCAATGCAGCGAGAAACTCCCGCACCCGGATGTGTCCTTCAGCTGGCCCCTAAACAAATATTTATACTAGTTCAGTGATAATGGACGTCATACTAAACTCCAAATTATACACAAGAAACTAAAATTAAAAATGATACAAGACTAACAAAGGCCAGGGGCTCCTGACTTGGGACAGGCGAAAAAAATGCGGCGGGGTTAAACATGTTTTTTGAGATCTCAACCCTCCCCCTATACCTCTAGCCAATGTAGAAAAAAAAACGTACAACAGTACGCACAGTAAAACTCAGTTTAAGAGAAGTCCGAGTCCGATGTCAGAATAGGAAACAAAAGAAAATAAATAAAATGACCATAATACATGCCAGCTCCAGACCTCAATTAAACTGATTGAAAGATTATGTCTTCATCATATGAATATCAGGCACAATCCCTCCTGTTAGAGGTTTAGTATTATACCATCATAAAATATATGAGAAGAACATAACCCGTGTCATGCCAACAACTGGTTTTAGAATAAATATGTTTAATTCCGATGCAAAGATGAATGCAAAGATGAAATATATTTCACAGTAGTTGTGAAATAATTGTATTTTTCAGGTTGAGACCATAGGAGACGCGTACATGGTAGTATCTGGTCTACCCATACTTAATGGCACAAAACACGTTAAAGAAATAGCACAAATGGCGCTTTCTATTAGGGACTCGGTCAAGTGTTTCAGGATTCCCCACAAGCCGGAGATATCATTACAATGCAGAATCGGTATTCACTCAGGTAACCTATTCAGTAAAAATGTTTTTGCTTAGTGTAACAACTTCTTTAGAATAACGGAGAGTGCTTAGTGTTGCAACATGAATTCCTAATATATCGTAAGTCGAAATATAAGAAATGAAAAGTCGAAGAGAATACAGTCGGAATTAAAAGTATTCCAAACGTACCAGATTGGTTATGGAAGTTTTGGTATCTCCTTACTCATTCCATGCATGCTTCACACATTACACAACAACAATGACTTCTTATTTAATAGAAAGTTACAGCCAGGAACATAGTCTCAAATATAGAAATAAGAAGATGTGGTAAATGTATGATTGTCAATGAGACAACTTTCCACCAGAGACCAAATGACATAGAAGTTCACATCTATAGGTAACCGTACAGCCTTCAACAATGAGCAAAATCCATACCGCATAGTCAGCTATAAAAGGCCAAGAAATGACAAATGTAAAACAATTCAAACGGGACTAACGGCCTGATTTATGTACAAAACAATGAACGGAAAACAAATATGATATACAGCAACAAACGACTACCACTGCATAAAAGGCTGCTGACTTGGGACAGGCACATACCGAATGTGGCGGGTCGAATTAGTTTGTTTGCGCCAAATCACCCCCTAACCTTCTATTATCATTCTTACGAGTAACGGATGAGCCTAACTATTATCTTTCCCCTAATCTCATAGTCGCTGAAAAGAATCTACAGTAATTGCTGCTTAGAGAAATCTAATTTCCTTGTGCAACCGAAGGAGGAACTATTTTACATTAATTGATAAAAGAAATTGGGGTATTTAAGTGAAAATTTTATCTTTTAAATAAATATGTAACAGGTGTAAATTTAAAAATTCTTATTTGATATCACTTGATATATTTGTCGGTAAATGCTTATTTTCAATTCTGATGATTTTTTTTATAACTAAATTGAACATTTTTCAATAAGATCTTATCATCATCATGTAAAACTTTTCAAAAATTGCATCTTTGTAAACTGATCCATAAAGGTAAAATTTACAAATACATTATATGAAAAAATGCGCACTACTTTGATTTTTTTATAGTAAAATGTATTTGATTTTGGAAATTCTCTTTTTCTTAGGGATCGATATATGCCATCTTTATTTAATGAAAATAATTTGCAAATATGTGATGAACAAAACATTAACTGTTATTCTAGGACCCGTATGTGCAGGTGTGGTGGGTAGAAGGATGCCAAGGTATTGTTTATTTGGCGATACAGTAAACACTGCTTCAAGAATGGAATCAAATGGTGAAGGTACAGTAATTGATCTACAACAAGTAAATTCAAATATTTTTTTCCATGAGCATTTGTTCGCATGCAGATATATCTGATTAATGGACGAGGTGTGAACAATGTACCTTAGATGTTATGAAAATACTTAATTTGAAAATACAAACAAAGATTAGTTCGATAAACCAACAAGATTTTAATTTTAGTAAGCGTAATAAGGAGGGAAAAATTTACAAATTAGCAAGAGGATGGTAAAACGATAGTTTAGACTGAATCTTTAGAGGTGTACACACTTTTGTGATTTTTATGCTTTCACACATGTTTTAGACGTCTTAGATCTTTAGATAACAGAATAGTTATCTGATCTGTAAATTTACGGATGGTAAAAAATTGACTGAGTGTTGATTAGCATGCAGGGTAATACAAGAATAGCCTGTCGATGTACCGGTCTCGCTAATTTTAGATTTCATGCGATTACCTCAGGTTTTGTTTTACCATGATTTGTATCTTTTTAATGCATTGATAAGATATGAACATCGGTAAACTAAGTACTCTTGCCTCTAATTAATCGACTCTTAGTCGAGACACGTCCTCAGTCTTCATACTTTTATCTTTCGAAGAGTTATAATTATACAACACAGGATTAAATGCTTCCAACGGTTAAAAGAGATGATTTCAGCTTCCCAATTGTGAACTTTCCATTTCTATGTAGCAACATTCCAGCAGCGCCTGCATACGGAGTATATATCTCCAAGTTGATACGATATTCCCGGGCTTGTATTTTCTGTCATGATTTTCTTAATAGAGGATTGCTGCTCACAAGGAAGCTATTAAACCAAGAGTTCCAAATGGTGAAGTTGAAATCATCCCTTCGTAAATTTTACGGACGCCATCACGAGTTGGTTGACCGTTATGGAATAACCGTTTCACAGATGATATCGGATATGTTCCTTATGTCGTAACTACAATACCCTTCCCTTTTCACGAATGTGACCTACCGAATTAGACTATTTACCGGATTTGTAATAAAATAAGCAACACGACGGGTGCCACATGTGGAGCAGGATCTGCTTACCCTTCCGGAGCACCTGAGATCACCCCCAGGTTTTGGTGGGGTTCGTGTTGCTTAGTCTTTAGTTTTCTATGTTGTGTCATATGTACTATTATTTGTATGTTTGTCTTTTTATTTTTGGCCATTGAGTTGTCAGTTTGTTTTCGATCTATGAGTTTGACTGTCCCTCTGGTATCTTTCGTCCCTCTTTTAAATATATACTCGACATTTACATTTACTTTTGGTACTAATGAAATGAATGCAAATAATTGACTTATATTTAAGCGATGAAGATACATATCAGTGAAGCCACAAAGATGTTGCTTGACAATTTTTCTGAATTTGACATTAAATGTAGAGGATTATTGCAGATTAAAGTAAGTAACATACAGTTTTGGAATTAAGTGTTTTAAGTTTTTATAACAGATGAAACACCGTTGACTTCAAAATTCAAGCTGATAAAACAAAACTAAAATATCTGCTTTTCCAATTGATTGAACAATGTATTTTAATTTTGATTTAAACATCTACACATTCTTACACCACAAGCTTTACAGAACATAAAATATCAGACAACAATAGGCAATCGTTAAAATGATATATCAACCATTACATAAGTGTAAACATGTGACTTTAAAGATCTGAGACAACCACAGTTTTAACATCAATAGTCAATTCTAAAATGTTCAAAACATTTGGAGCCATAAACTTTGGTTAAAGTACAGAAAAACATATTTAGAGTATACATTGTAATAAACTTAAATCAATGTTCAGGAGACTGTTTTCAAAATGTAACTCTACTAATTGATAAAAGAAGTTTTTTTCTTTTGAGTTCAAGTATGTTAATTTTTACAGGGAAAAGGCTTAATGACAACATATTGGATAAAAGGTCACAAGATAGATATTACAATATCAGACAGCAGTAAATCGGATTTATCATGTGCATAAAGTATTATCATTATGAATGGATACACTATATTTTGCACATTTGGTAAAATTATAAACTTATCACAGTTTACATGTTATTGTCAAATTTTGAATCGAAGGTTATCGGTAAACAAAACGAACTAATGTGTATCCTAAAGACAATTCATGGTCTTACTACCATCATGACTGAGGTTTAGGTTAACGCTGTCCTTCTTATATATGGTTGAGATAAATGCTAAAATTTTGTCAAAATCTGTTCAAATTGCAGTTTTGGGCTATCTTCTGGTGTTTATCATTAGGTGATCTGTTTAGCAATGAGCCAAAAAGCGGGGACAAAAAATACACCTGATTTGTTCTATCAAATTTCAAAAAACCAATTATATTGTGAGTGGTGTCATCTTTTACTTAGAATGTGCATTTTTGAGGTAGTTGTGGGGGTATGAACAAACAGTGACGACTGATTTGTTTTCTACAGGTTTGTTTTCAAAATGTGGTATATATTCCCACACAGTTTATACAGGGTTATTTCTAAAACAGAAAATTCAAAGAAAAAAGTTTTTTTCATAGCCCAATAAAGGAAATAAGAAAGAGAGAGTCAGAAAAAACACAATACACTGAATATGGCTTGCCCTACCTACTGATATGACAGATCATTCATGGTAGAGCCTGAATAAGGCTTGCTCTGCTTACTGATATGACAGATCATTATTGGTATAGACTGAATAGGGCTTGTTCAACCTACTGATATGATAGATCATTCATGGTAGAGCCTGAATAGGGCTTGCTGTATCTAATATGTAATATGACAGATCATTCATGGTTGAGCCTGAATAGGGCTTGCTGTATCTAATATGTAATATGACAGATCATTCATGGTAGAGCCTGAATAGGGCTTGCTCTGCTTACTGATATTACAGATCTTTCATGGTAGAGCCTGAATAGGGCATGCTCAACCTACTTATATGACAGAACATTCGTGGTAGAGCCTGAATAGGACTTGCTCTACCCACTGATGACAGATTTTTCATGATAGAGCCTGAATAGGGCTTGATCAACCTACTGATATGACAGATTATTTATGATAGAGTCTGAATAGGGCTTGCTATACCCACTGATGACAGATCATTCATGTTAGATATAAAAATCTGAAGATGTGGTATGATTGTCAATGAGACAACTCTCCACAAGTGATCAAATGATATAGAAATTAACAACTATAGGTCACCGTACGGCCTATAGCCTGAGCTCTACCTACTGATATGACAGATAATTCATGGTAGAGCCCTATATCAAGACAATTTTCCCTCAAATGTGTTTTTGTGACTCAGAATACTCAGAATATTTCATGTTTGCTATATTTAAGTGAAATAGTCTGAATGTTTTGATAATGAAAGTACACACATGGTCAAGGGTGCATATGACGCTTCCCTAAATAATTTGAATAACGGACGGATGCCGAAAAGAGATGATCTATAACATAACATTCTTTTGAAAGGTAATCTAATTTGCTATATATATTTTGACACTCTCTATTTTAAGTGTTATATTTTATACACAGAAATATTTATCGGTCGATTCCTAATTATGCTTATATAAATTTTGACTGCTCTTGTAAGACATAATAGTGTCCTGTGAAAAAGTGTCCACCTGGACAGTTTTTCATAGAATTTTGGTTTTAAATAATGTCCATTGCCATGAAATATTGTCCCTCAAGTGGACAGATTTTTACTGCAAAAGTTATGAAATAGTGTCCACCCACAGGACAAGTTTTCATAGTAGTTGCTAATAAATTATGTCCTCCAAGGGAAGAAATACAAAGGTCTTTAAAAAGTTTTATTATACTTAAATCTTAATAAAATCTGAACGATTGATTAGAAATTGATTAATATACAAATGTAAACAAACAAATAATAGATGGAAGTGAATATAGAGACATTCAAGTTCTAAGAAATACCCAGCTAATGCTATAAATGACAATGAAAGAAGAAAAATAAGAAGGAAGTGTGTAAAGTATAAAATCAAATGTGAAGAACTTGACTATATTTATTATGAGAAGAAGGCAAAAGCAGAAAAGAATTTTGGTATTAAATTTCGTCCATTGCCATGAAATATTGTCCCCTAAGTGGACAGCATTTTACAGCAACAGTTATGAAATATGGTTCACCTACAGGACAAATTTTCGTAGTAATTGTTATTGAATTGTGTCCTCCAAGGAAAATAATACCGAACAACATCTGTTACTTGTTTGATTTTAAATCATTATACATGTATATATATTAAACAATATAAATAAGACGATAAGGATGGTATGAGTGCCAATGAGACAACTCTCTGTCAAAGTAACAATGTATTAAAGTTCGCAATTATAGGTTAAAATACGTCAAGTAATAACAAGGCAATGGCTATCATTTAATACTTTAATCATATCAAAAAATGTCCACCTGGACAGAATTATAGTATTGAATAATGTCCATGTTCATGGACACTTTTTCTTACCTGAGGACATATTTTCATAGGAAATTGTGTCCGGGACACATTTCAATAAGTAAATATTGTTTATGGACAGTATTTACTATGAAATAATGTCCGGTGGACATTATTTCATGGGGGACATTATCAAATCCTACAATCTTACATGTCCACAAAGTTGCGTTAATGTGGAAACTAAAATTTCACTTGAAAAGTTTCAACGGAAGATTTGGTAAAGCACTAGAGCTAATACAGTTAGCTTGATCTATAAAAGCTTCAACTGTAGATTGACTGAACCTGATATAAAACAAAGACTTACCTGTACAGACGATATTAAAAGGCACAAAGAATATATAAGGTATGATGGCAGAGAACTGAAAACCTGCAAGTTTGGTAACAATTTCACATTGATGATAATGAACATTTCAATACCTTCATTATGTTTATCTGAATGTATCCATCTTGAAAATGTGAGGTTATCCGTTTGTAAATTTATCTTTTTCTATGTCTACATTTTCTGGTGGTCTGAATGTTTACGTTTTTTAAACCATGCGCAAAATACAGTATCGATGGATGTGTTCTAGTATAGTTTGTATTGAAAATCAAAATTGTCGACTGATAAATATTTTATATTCTATTAAAAAGAATATTTAAAGTGTTATTGTTTTAACTTTATTTAGCTGTTGTGCCGAATAAAAATGCTGAAATGTTTGCGTATCATTGATACAATAGTAGGTAAGAACATAAATAATAACATTTCTACTTGAGAGGTTTTTATAATACATAAAACGGAGAACAGAAATAACCAATAATATTTGACAATAAAAAAACCACATCAACCACCGAAATCTTTTCCCATGACGACGCTTGATCATTAACAATAAAAATAAACTCATAATAGATACCAGGATTAAAATGTTGTACGCCAGACGCGCTGTCAGTCTACAAAAGACTCACCAGTGACGCTCGAATCAAAATAGTAAATAGTAAAAAAGAAGCCCAAAACGTACGAAGTTGAAGAGCATTGAGAACCTAAATTGATGCCACAATCGACCAAAGACTATGCTCATATTAAAGAATATTATTAGAAATACCAAAAACCTAGATTCAGACGAAGAGATCGCAAATACCGAAAAATATTGTATGAGAGAGACCGTGTCCGGCCTTTGGTCTGGTTTCTGTTTTTATTGTGTCAGAATTATATTCCAAAAATATAGATGTTCACTAATTTCTTCTACTTTACACATATCTGTCCCTGAACGTTACACAATCACCAACCAATCAATTAATCGATCCTTTTCCCAGTTGTTGGGAAAGGAAGAATGCCTTTACAATTGGATTGAAAAATTATTACTTTTTATCACAACCATTAACTTTTGTAAAGCTACACGTCCGATTGGCTTTAAAGAAGACAACATAGTATACATAGAACACAATTTTGCATCTATTCCATCAAGAATTTTCGAGGAAGGTACACTATTCAGTAACATATAAATCACTCTCTGGCCTGTAAACTTCAATGAAAATCTCACGGCAACAATTTATATTCATTTATCTAAAATACAAATCCTAAGGGAAAACCCTCTTTATATGAACATTTTCCGAAAATAAGAAACATTTTCTGAAAATAATCATTAGTTTAAATAAGAGACGTATTGTGCATATCATAGTAAGCGTGCCAACAGTTGATTGACATGTTTAATTTATGAAAAGCACATTTTAAGTTTCCTTGGTCACTATTTAATCTTTGGCATGTGTCACGGGCCATTAATATTACAAACCATATATAGCCACGCCTTACTCATTAACACAATAAATGCACTGAAAGCTTCGTCTTAATGTTAATGTGCCATTCTTTAGTCATGATCTCTTCAGTGGTTGTTTTATGCAATATCTTATTGTTTGTTTGAGTTTGCTGCAGATGGCAGATCTTTGATATTCCCTCCTAACTTTATTCACAAATTTTTAGTTCCGAGAGTATATTATATATACCCCTTCTCCATTTTGCTAATTTGGGGATGATAAAGCAAAGACGTGTTCCCTATATCTTTCTTCTTCATCAACATTAACTGCAGTTTATAATAAAAATATATAGTCATCTTGCAGACATTATTATTCGAAGCCTAATACTTACAGTACAAGACAGAAGGGCACTCATCCCATATACAAAAAAACAGATAAAAATGACCGTAAATAGAATTGGGACTGCATTCACCACTTCATAATCTCGATATCAGTTTAGTAGTTGAAAAACAAACACATTTTAATGCCTACTTAAAGAAAGGCACTTGTTTTATTATTATTGTTTTTAAAACACTACTAACATCATACGAACAATCATTGTAGCGCTAAAGGTAAAGTTAACACCGGCTTTTAACATCAAATTTAAGGCAAAACAAAATTAGTTCATTTTAACCTTGACATCTTAGACATCAATTCAGTAGCTCTCGTCTTTTCCTTTTCCATCAACTGTACTGCTGATACTAGGAAGTTTGGTTCCATCCATGTAAATGAACTGTCACATCGCTGATACTGGAAAGGTAGGTTCCATC